CTCAAGGACACGATGCCCTTGAGCGATCGGGAAAGTCCCTAAGGCGGGACGGTAGCTAAAAGAAGGAGGAACTAACTGAAAAGCCCGGGAAGTGTTAGCCAATCCTGAGCTTAGTTTCTGCAATATGTATGAGTTGATTATGTTCGACCTAGATAAAAGGCGACTGAGCTATCCATTAAAGTTGAAGTTCACTGTTCACTCATATTGAGCGTCTGTGTCTTCCTTCCGTCGACAACACCATACAGATACAGAAATACAAATAACACCTGTGATTACAATGACACTGCTAGGCAGGGTTTAGGGGTGTATGGCACGGAGACAAGGGGTAACAACTATCGTGTTTGGAATAATTTTACAGCTTTGGCCTTACCTCCTGATGTTTTTCTGATTTGTGGGGATAGGGCCTGGCAAGGTATCCCTGCAAATGCTATTCGAGCTCCATGTTACTTAGATAAACTCATTACATTTGCTCCTAGCTTGTCACAGTTGCGTAAGATCACCAGACATAATTGCTTGTACCGGATTGCAATGATAATGTTGAATTGCTTGGTGTTGCAGCTAGAGCGGCATTGGCAATTTTAGTGCCAGAAGTGGCATCTGTGGCCGCACTTAACAACTTAGAAAAATTGGTATGCTGGGCCGAGAAGCAAGCCCATGCCACGACAGAGATACTTGAGGAGATGTTACCAGATCAAAATAGTCTGCGACATGCGCTCTTACAGGATGAAGCAGCTATTGACTTCTTGCTCTTGGCTCAAAGGCATGGGTGTGAGGACTTTGAGGGAATGTGCTTTTTAAACCTTTTTGATCATAGTGAGTCAATTCACAAATCCATTACTTTCCTGAAAGAGCGCATGAGAAAGATTCAATATGATATCAATCCTTTCAATCAATGGCTCACTGACTTGTTTGAAATGATGCATAGATGGTTACTGGGATTAGTCAAAGAGGGATTAAGGATTCTGTTTGCTGTGGTGTTAATCATCATTGCGTGTTGTATTGTAATAAATGTGGTTAAAGGGTTACTTGCAAAACTGTTACATTGGGCTTGGTTTGCTCAAAAAGAAAAAAAAAAGGGGGAATTGTTAAGGGATTTTTTGAAACAGCAAAGATCCCATGGCTTGCTGCAGCTGAGCAAACCAAGCTACCAGGGCGACTATGAGAAGTTCCCATGACAGTGTTCCCACATTGCCCAACTGAGGAATTTAGACAAATATTGTTACCAGCAGCTGGCTTCAAGGACAAGGTCTACGTGACTGCTAATCACAAGGGGGTTGTTTTCTTGTAGGTGGGGTTGTTTTCTTGTAGTTGTTTGTCTGAGTGCTTTTGACCAATAATCTTGTGTGAGACACTATCCGCCCCTGTTAAGTTCACTATAAAAGTTAGGCTATTTGGGCAATAAAATGGGGCATGATCTGACCATACTGGTGTCTGTTGTGCTTTTGGACGTTCTTCCTGTAACACCTTGGAATACAGAAAAGTAATTCTCTACTGCAAAAACACAAATTTGTTTCTCACAATTCCCCCCTCTTTTCTTACTCCTATTGTTGTTTTTGCACCTCTTCACATACCGCATTTTTGAGTTTTTCCAACATTAAGGTGCAATATTCTTCTTTGGATGTCACGGGGGATGACAGATATACAATGCCATTAGTATTACAATACCAACAAATAGTTGTTTGAGCCAATTCTGTTCAGGTAATCACAAAATTATTTTCTCCCAAATGTTTCTAAATCCCCAGGAACTGTCATCTTGAGTTACTCTATGTAGGATCTTGTTGTGGTTTTTTTTTTTTTTTTTTTTTTTTTGCTTCCTGCAACATATACCCAAACGGCAACTAATTTGTTGTACCACTTTTGCCCCTGTCAGAGGATATAGTTGCTGAAACTCCAAAACAAGGTATTATTTCTTGTATCTTAATTACCTCCTGAGCCTTGTCTGTTCTAGTTGGGAATGCTTCTGGCCATCCTGAAAAGGTGTCAGTTAATACCGATAAATACTGATACCCCCCTTTTCTTGGGAGTTCAGAAAAATAATTTGCCACTGTTTGGAGCTTGATTACTTTTATGCCTGTCTAACAATGGTATACAGATTAGGCCCTATCCATTTTTCACATCTGACAGGAGTCTCATCCAGAGGCTGAAAACCTGTGCCTTTTATCCCTATCTCTCTACTGAAGACCTGTTCCCAAGAGAGAGATCCTGTCTACTCTGCTTCCTTGCCTTCTAATTCCAGGCTATTGGCCTTGTTATCCCAGCATCGAAGCAGCCAGAAGAGAATTTTCAGGGCACAGCACTATATGGGCTGCTGCAGGGAAAGTTATCTCCATCCCAGCCAGACCCAGTACACACTGATATCACCAGAGACAGGTTTCTGCTTTGAAATTCTGACATCCAAAAGAGTTTAAAATTTCTTCTTTCTCTGCTGCTGTCTCAGTGATTGTGCGAGTTGTGACTGAAGTAATAATTGTCAGGTTTTAGCAAGTGCAGCTTTTAAGTACCTGTTGAGGGCACCTATGCCCAGCATAACTTTATAAAACAGTAAATATGAAATAGTTAAAAGAGGAATAGAATGAGTCACACATCTTTTATATGAAGAGATACAAAATGTCCATTTTTGCGACATTTTCCATCTTATGGAGAAGGAACATGCAGATCATTGCATGTCATATTCTGCCATCAGTTATTGGGGAAATGATTCCCTTCAATCATACCCCCTTCTGGGGGTATGTGGGTATAACTGAGGGCAGTACTGAGGTCTGTATCTCCAATCTCACTGAAAAATGTGTTAATTTAGAAATAAAACAAGGCTCTGGGATTTTTTCAGGATCCTATTCAGGATCCTATTCAGGATCCTATTAATTAATTTCAAAAGTTCCATTAGCTTGATGAAAGAAAGGCCATAAACTATAATCATCTGCCAGCTGGTGACTTGTGATTTTGAAATAGATTTAGGGACACAGTTTCAGACTCTGGCTTGTTTGCTTTATGGAGGCAGCATAGAGCAACCAGAGAAGATAAAGTGGCCTCCAAAAGCCCTCACACATATCCAATGTTCTCCACTGGTTTCCCACTCCTGTCCTTACCTCTCAATGGAAAGTGCATACCACGTTTCCCTGGTGAGTACTGCAGCACTGGGCCAGCATGGTAAGACATATTTTAGGAAAGTCCATCTTCTGGCGTAAGCTATATCACGCTGCTTTGGCTACAGGAAAGGTCAGTGATGGGGAAAGAGGAAAACAAGCTCTTCTTTTGTATCTGCTCAGCTTCCCAGAACACTACCTTCATTTTGCTGGGGACCCAGTCATACGAGGATTTCTTCCAAAACAGCACCATGAAAACAGCGTTACTGGCTCCCATGTTTGTCACATTCCAGCAGCTCCCAGATGCAATTGCTCGGTTTACAAATAAAACCATGTCTTCCCTCAGTCCTAGACTTAAAAATCCAAATAAGTTTGATGGTCAGCCTAAGCTCTTTTTTCTTCACTCTGATGATGACGTGAAAGTGGAATTTCAAAAGTTTCCACAGAAATGCTACCTTACATATTTTATTTTCCTCCTTGATTTAGAGACATAGCCAAACATGAGAGTTTACTGAGAAGCTGACTGTACACAGTAGAGAGCACTGGGAGTCACCAGCTCTCAAGAAGGGTGGCAAGGTGTCAGCTTTCATTATGTATTACCAGCTGGAGCTTGGATTGGGGAATTAGTTTTAATAGACTGGCTTTGCTGGGCAAAGATGTGTGTTTAGGAGTATTAATTGTGCTGCTGCTCAAGGTGACTAGAAAGCTGTGCAGGAAAAGCAATTTTAAACCCGTGGTGGCTTCATCGGATTAGGAACCACCCTTGCAGGAGAAACCCAAGGGACAATGTCTAATGAAGTGCCTTGCTTGAAGTACAGGAGCCACTGTAAGGAAATGAGGAACATGAAGTGTGTTTTGTTCCTATTAAAGTGGTACAAGTGCATGGGGCAGTTATGAGGCAGGGATAGATGGATGCTGTTGTCACCATGGCCTTGAGACAGTGAACAAGATAAAGGATGTTGATTCTGTAGGCCTTAGCTAGCACAGTTGTATGTTAACGACCCCAAACATAAGGGAGTAAAAGACTGTATGCATAGATAATGGAACCAGCAAGAACTGGCTTGACTGCTGAAGTCTGTCAAAGAAAGGAAGGAGCAGGAGTTTAGCAGCGAGGAAGACTTCTGGCCTTCATCAAAAGACCACCAGAGTACACTGGAGGACCACCCAAGGACTCCAGTACGCATGTGAATAGGGGCGGAAACCTGTTAATGATTCTTCAGAGACCTGATGAATATGCAAGAGACTCATGGGAAATGAAATGAATATGTATTTTTCCCACTAATATAAGCACACTGTCAGTAACCCTTAGAGTGTGTGTGTGTTAGGCAGAACTTCCCCACACACCCGGTGCCATAACAAATACCTGCTTAATAACTTTGGTTATTGAGTTTTCACTGTGTCAGCCTTACTTGGACTGAAGCTGCTGGCAGGTTGGGGAGCAAGTACAAAGCATCCTTTTAAGCTGCTCCACTTGGCACAAGGGACCTCTACGAGCAGACATGAGGTAAATTAAGCTATTACACTAAAACTTCAGAGCAGCTCAGCCACCATCTGGTGCCACACAGGCACCTGTCTGCAAGCCGGGGACAGGTGCGAGAGGTATAGGCTAGCACAGCCGCCCTGCGGCCACGATGAGCATGCCTCGGTCCGGCCCCGGAGCACGACTCTCTCGCCGGGCGTCGGCCCCCCACGAAGCGGGAGCGCCCATCGTGTGCCACTCGCGAAGAGCGGCTGCGAGGGAGCACTGCAGCACGGAGAGTGAGGAGGAGGGCGCGGGATAGGCGGAGCTCGCCACGCGTGGCTCTGCGGCCGCGGGACAAATACACTGGGAACCTCGAGGCAAGCAGCCTCGCTTCAGGCGCCCCAGTGTCAGGGTGCGCGGCGGGAGACCCAGCTGCGCGGGCCTAGCGTCCCCTTCCTCCGAGGTAGGGGGAGGAGAAGATCGCAGACGGCTGAAGAAGGCAATGACGACGCTTCTGCCCCCACCCCAAGCCTGTCCCGTCGTGACGCCACGGCGAAGCTCGCAGGCGCAGCAGCTCCTGGCGCCTGTTGTATCCGGTTGGTGCCTTTTCTCTCCCCCTCCTCCCTCTCCCCGTCTCTTCTTCCCTCCCGTCCGCCCACCTTTCTTAGAGCCGCCGTAGCTGTGCGCACGCCTGCTCCGCCTCTTGCGTGTCTGGTCGGCAGCGCCTCCGCTCTCTCCGGCTGCCCCATGAAGCGATGGCAGCGGCCAACTTCGGCAAGATCCAGATAGGAATCTACGTGGAGATCAAGCGCAGCGATGGTCAGTGGGGGTTGGCCGGCGGTAGGGGCCTGTGGGAGCGGCCGCAGCCCGTGGCTGGGTACCGCCGCCCCAGTGCGCAGCGGGGATCGGGGAGGGGGCTGCTTGCGGAGCCCATTGTGTGCGTGGGGTCAGGGAGGGGCCGGGTCTGGCTCGCGCTGCGATTGTCAGGAGAGCGCTCGTGCTCGGCGGTGGAGGGCGGTTGCGAGCGGCAGCCGTTGGGGACGGGGAGGCTGCGGCAGCGCTGGGAGGAGGCAGGGAGGGGCGGCGGCAGGGGTAGAGGGTTGAAATGTGGGGGGAGAAAGGTGAGGTGAACGAGAGGGGGACGCGTGAGGGAAGTTTGGATGGGCTGGGCTGGTAGGGGAGGGGAGGGGAGAGGTCAGGTCAGGTCAGGTCTGAGATGGGTAACGAGACGCGTGGGGTGTGTCTGGATGGGGGCGATGAGGTGATGGGGGGAGGAGAGCCTGGGGAATCTTTAGCATGGAGGTGGGAGGGGATTAGATGACGGAGGGAGGAAGGGGCTTTAATATAAAGAAATAACTCTTTTCTCTGGCATACGAGCTGTGTTCTCAAAAAATTACACTACAGTATGCACTGACAGAAATGCCTTTGAACACTTCCATCACGTGACAGAAAGCTTGATGGTATTATTTCACATGTTCTTTATAATTAAAATATAAGAAGAGTGCTTGCTGTTTATGCCTGAGTTGTTATTTTTCTGTTGGGGATCCAGTGTTTGTCATCTTGCCCAGCATCTCCTGGCAGGAGCATGTATGTTGCTGTCTAGGAATACACATGAATAAAGGATGTGTGTGTGTCACATTTAGTGTGCTAACTGTATTTTGTCTGGATGGGGAGAACTGAATTGGGAAGTTCACTAACTGAAAGGCAGGTCACTTGGGACTTCCACTCTTTAATTTGAGTGGGAATATGTCATCTGTTCCTGGCCTCTGTGAGATCTATGAAACCTACTAAACCAGGGTAGAGTTCTGCTCATATTTTCTTGAAAGTCTTTTATTTTCTTCAGTGTTCAGGAGCTTGCTAAAGAATAATCAAATGATTTTAATGGAAGAAAGACACGGAGGTCAAAAGCACTGAAGTTAGCATGGTTTTGTCATGAGGCAAGAAATGAGCAGCAAGTCTTCATGCAGCTATGTCTCATAGTACAGTTCAACCCTACAATAAAAATCAAATGCTCAGTGTTAGCTGGATGCTGTATTAAACCTAACCCCTCAATTTGTGCTTAATGGCTTGTGTGTCATGTGAAGAATCTGATAGGTCTTGCAGTTATTTGCATAACTCCTGCAGATCTCTGAGGTTTCAGAAAACCTCACTGTAGTAGTTTGGAAAACTATTTTTCTGAGGCCTGTGTCAACTTCTAATACATGTTACTGACTGTTTTATATATCTTTTGGAAAATAAGGGATGAGAATGCTTTGCTGCATTTTCCACGTTGCAGGGTTCTTCTCTCTTCTAAAATCCAAAGTGAGAACAGTAGCTTGAACATAATACTTATTTTCATTACTGTTAACGATTCACATATTTTGCTGTATCACTTACATATGCGATGCAGCATATTAAATATATTACACATCAGTAATATACTAGGAGGATGTTTTTACAACAGTTGTGCAAACCATTGAGCATTTTTGTTAGCTTGGTCTTTGTGTGAGCAACTACAGTGTCATACCAAGGTTAGTGGGTTCCGACTATTGTGATGTTTGCTTGTTTTCCATTGAGACTGGTGGAAGATATATCCCTAGGTATGCAAAAAGGAACATTTTGAGACAAATATCGAAGTATAGCCCACACTAGATTGCATTTAGATTGCTTTGCCTTTCAGAAGGTGGGTTACCAACCTGGGCTGTGGTTGCACAGGCAATCAAGATTGGTTTGTCTGTTTCTAACAAGTGGAGTGTGCCTCTGTCAGCTGTGTTGTTCCTACAAACTTTCTCTCCCATCCACTGTAGTCAATATGTTTGTTTTTTTTCTCCAGATTATTTAATGCATTAATTGCATTAAATTAGCAAACTTGTGGATGTGATAGGTTTCCTCAGCATTAGTGAGTTCAAATGACTCTCAGAGGGTCTGTGACCCCAAAAGTATCAGTGCGTAGGAAATGTATGGCTGGGATGAAGTGTGAAGTTTGATCTCCTTCAACAACCGTGAGCTACCTGGATCTGCTGAACTCAGACCTGTATCCCAGGTAGAATCAGGGCTGTGTATCATACCAGCTACCCTAGGTTGAAAGCACAATTAAAGCTGTTTAAGAATCTTGAGAAAGCAGTTTGTTGGTCAGTCTGGGCTTTTTTTCACATTGTCTTGTCCATAGGAAGTAATTTTTTTAAAAACTAAATGTTGTTTTGAGAGGTAAGTATAATAGTTCATTAAAATTTCCTTACTTAAGTGTTTTATTTGCTGAATAAAATAGGTTTACTTTGTTAATGGGGTCTTTTTGCACTTTTTCCCATCTGTCCATAAGTATGCTAAATGCTTTTCTGAATACAGAGCTTTATTAATTCCAGATAAGTATTTTATTTTATTTTTTTTAAATAAAAAGAAGAAATAGGAGAATAACATTTTTGGTAAAACATCACTGGTAAAATTTGTACTTGTTCACTACAACAAAATTGCAAAGAGATGTAAAACAAAATAAATGTGAGAACAAGACCAGAACATTCTGGAAATAAAAGTGACATATATTACATTTTTGAGGACTGACGCTGCAAAGTTGCTTGCTGTGTATCTGTTTTTTCTCAGTGGGTAAACATTGGTATAAACGTTGTCTAGAGTTACAGATAATATTTCCAGTTATAATTACATGGGATAACTTGTTATATTCATGTAATATAAAAGCATATTTAGGTGGTCAGCTAGTTTGGCTTTTAATAATAATTTCTGATACTGAAATTTACTACTTATTTCAGTATAATTCATGTATGTTTCTTGAAATATGCCTTGATAGTCTGCCTTGGAAACAGGAACTCATTCATTTTAGGTTGTGAATTGCTAACAATGGACTACATTTCCAGTCTTGAAAAATGTGCCTTATCACACAGAAGAGCTAGAGCACTAGAGAGTGGGCCAGAACATAGCTGCAAGACCAGCTGTAAGAGTTTCATTCTGTCCAGATGTTCCTTTTTGAGGAATTCCCTCTACTAAAATAATAATAGCCCACTGCTTTGCAAGTGAACTTATACCCATATCTCCACTTCTTGTGCATTATCCAATTAATAATGACAAAGACCTACATAATCATTTGGAAAAATAACATCTCACTTTTTTTTTTTTCATTAGTTCAGTCTTTTGCTGAAATAGGATAAATCAGTCTTACGCCCTACAGACCTTTAGTAAGCTGATTGGTATTTTTTCTTTACATTTCCAGTCCAGTCATGTTCTGTCATTTTCTTCCTCAGGCTGAAGCACTGGAACAGGTTGCCCAGAGAAGTTGTGGATGCCCCATCCCTGGAAATGTTCAAGGCCAGGTTGGATGGGGCTTTGGGCAACCTGATCTAGTGGGAGATGTCCCTGCCCATGTCTGGGGTTTGGAACTAAATGATCTTAAAGGTCTCTTCCAAACCAAACCTTTCTATGAGTCTATGATCCTATTCTCTCTGTCTTTGCAAATCTGAAATGCTACCTAGAAGAACAGAGAAATTAATTATATATTTGCTCATTTGGAAAGGGGAGGGGGGAATACAGATGGGATTAACCATCAAATGGTGTTAAAAAGAAAGATCACGAGCTTGTGTTCTTGTATTACGGGAAAGAAATGAACTTGAGAACTGTCAGTGTTATAAAGAGAAAACTTAAAAATGATAAAGGAGAATAAACTAGGAACAGTTATCACATGGAACGTGTTACCAGAGGACATGGATGCTGGAAGCCTAGCAGAATTTTAAAGAGGATGTTTGTATGGATGGTAGATTAAATTAATAATAGATGTAAATTAAAAAATTTACACCTGCAATTGTAAAAGGTAGTTTCTGTTCTACCTGAGTTTGTAGTTTAAATAACCTCCAACTGATGGGAGACAGGAAGAAATCTTGTCTGAGGCTGTGTTATTTTGTAATTGCCTCTTAGGAATTTTTTTCACTTGTCTCTGAAGCAGCTGGAACTGGTCATGGTCAAAGACAATCCATCTAGTCCAAAAAACTACTGGCAGCTCCTCTATAGGCTTGCCAAAACATCATCATAACTCTTTAACCTTCAAAAATAAAGGAGACTATATTTTTTTTTTTTTGTAACAGTAAGGGCTGTGAGGGTTGTGTTTTGTTTTGTTTTGTTTTCTTTAAAGCTCAATGTAGGTGAAATTGATGTTTGTTGATGTTGAGAGGTCTATACCATCCTTTGTGTTTTGGGTAATCCCATATGACGATCTTGACATTTACATGCAGCTCCCAATAGCAACAATGATTTTATAGTAAGATAGAAGGTATAATGACACTATGAAAATTCTGTTCAGGATCGGGTAGTCACCCTATTTTACAAGCTCTTGAGGGTATATTTAAATGGTAATGTGCTTTTTATTCATTCCTTTGGTGACATATATCTGTTCTTTCCCTGTGATTAAGACTTTTTTTGTTACCACATTTAAATCATTTGACCTCATTACCTAATCCCTATGTAAGCCATACTGGTACAATGTGTCTTTGTCTTTCCCTAATGGCCAGATCACACACAGGGCATCAAGTCCTCAAGTTTGCTATTTTTGGTAGAACTAATGGGACCAACATTTAGACTTACTAATCCAGTGTAGGTTCTCATCTTGTTCCATCCAGAATTTCTGGGCACTGTTCCTTAGAGAAGTTTTGACCAGGAGGATGTGTTAAGTTTACTGTGTCATTTTTAAAACGGCTTTATAAGCATTCAGCTCATGATATGCGATAAGTAGATTTTCACTGTAACTTGCTGTTTATGAGGTATTTATGTAGGCCTTCTGTATTTTGTATCAATAGCTCTATTGTGGTTTAACCCTGGTAGGCAGCTAAGTACCACACAGC